GATGTCGATTTGTGAACTGTTTTTATTTCCAATTGTTTTGTAAAAGAAACTTGTTGAAATATTCCTTTCTGAGCATTCCAATTCGTACCAAACATTGAATATTGAATAAAGCCATTATTATTATTATTGTTATTATTATTATTAATATGAAAACAAGGCAAATCATAAAATACAATTCAGTGAAACAAAAACTAGCATTGTTATTTGACATTTAACGGAAGTTGACTTTTTATACAAAACATTTTGACTAACAACAACAACAACAACAGAAAAAAATCAGTGGTTAGTTATTGCGTTACAATTTACTTTTATTTAGTAGAAGAAGAAAAAAGCAATCAGTGTCACAAAATTTTAATTTACGAATGATTATAAATACAAGAGAAACAACACACGCACACTTCCCAAATTTCAAACAAAAACACACACCAATAAAAGCGATCACATTGTAAACAAACAAACAAACACAGTTATTGTACAATGAAATGTATACCATTTTACGTAGTTGAGATTTATTTTTTCCCAACATGATGATAAGTGGACTTACGTGTGAATGATTACCGAACAAAGTAGTGAATACTAGTTGAACACTACTACTACTACTATTACGACTGCAAAAATTCAATCACGCGCGAAAATTCAAAAATATGATTATTTAAACAAGATAATCACCGAACTTCCGACAAGTACTAATACCACTGTTAATATATATATATATATATATATATATATATATATATATGTTTAGTTTTAAAATACACGTTCCACTTCAATACATACTTATACTCACAAAAATACTCAAAAAATAACATGAAAAATATCCACAATAGGTGGTGGGTATTTTTTTAAAGCGGAGGGAGAGAGAGGAGACAAGTGAAATACATGGATTTGTGTTTGTCAGCAAAGAAAAAAATGCATTTTCAGAAAAATAATAAAACACTAATTATTACTATAGTAACAAATTAAAAACAATTCATAAGGATGGTAATAAACTGAATTTCAAATAATTTGTGTAATTCAGGAAAAAGGGGGTGGGGTTACAGATTGATTCAAATCAAAAGAGAAATGAAAACATTTATTTGATTAAAAAAAGCACCAAGAAAAAATAACAACAGAGAATTAACAAAAACATATAGGATAGAAAGAAAACAGTTTGAAAACGGAACTACGAAAAAACTTTACATATGAATGAATTGTTTGGTTTCACACGAATAAAGCTGTCAAAATGTTCGATCAACTGTAAAATTATTAACAATAATAATAATAATAGTTATAACATAGGAAGCGGAATCATTTTAAACAAATATTGACTAACTCTCTATTCAATACTATCAATGGAATTTTCCCTATTTCTGTATTTTTTTTGAGAAAAAACTAACTGAATTCAATCATGAAAGTTTGATGTGTGGTTTTTGAAAATTTAAGCGGAAATACTTTTTAAATTTCTATTCACTTGATTTTTAATTGGGAAACAAAATTTTGAAATTGTCTAATGCATTGAATAAACTATGTTTATGATCAATTGTCAAATCTGCTGAGGAGAGTATTTTTGAAAAAATAAAGTGAACATTTCCTATGATTATGATGATTAGATGAGACTAGACTATTTGTATAATGATACTAACGAATCTGGATAACTTTGCTTGGAGTCGTTTTACTGGTCTTAAAACTCGCATAAGCAGCTTGCCAATGAGATGAGCAACTGTAAGGCACATAAAAGAGAATTTTGATTAAAGAAAGAAACATGAACTAGGGGAAAATCCATTTGACCGATTCGTAATTTAAACAGTTTGAATTCTTAAAGGTGATTTGATAGATATTCAGTGAAAAAAATGTTTAGATTGTTTGGACAAACATCTAGTTTGTAGAAATTCGTTCGATTTCAGTATTTTTTTTTCAACAGATATTGTCTTAGAAACAAGTTAGTGACCATTCGGACTCGGTATAGATAACGTGCGAGAATTTGGATAGATAGAATTATAACGTGAACAGCAACATACATGTAACAGTACAAATCTGATGAAGACGAATATTTAGTCAATAAATTTAAGTTCATATCTGAAAGGTGCGTGTTGGAACAGAAACATAGTTGAATGATAGATGTCTATTAAGGCTTACATTTAAGATAAACTAATGCCTGCATGGTTTGGTTGCTCTTTTCAGAATGAAACAATTGACTGCTAAGAATAGTCAAAGACAACCATTTCGAGCCCTAGATAATAGCTAATATCATACCCAACATAACTAAACTGCTGAAGTTGAAGCACCGCCCTCAACACACCTCCCGCATTAATTTGTTAGTATTCATTTCTGTTTCAATTACATACAACACCTAAGAATCCACTATATGTTGAGGGCTTATTTTAATATTTCAATCTGGTTATTTCAGAATAGTTAATATCTAGAAAACAGTTAGAATGTTATTTGAAGTATTCTATTCATCATTCCAAGTCGTCTAGATTGATTAGATCTTTTACAGGTCTATTTTGGATAAACTTATAAATATCTGACCTGTTAATAACTGTTTCTCTAATAAGTCAATAGAGTTATCAATATTTATTAATCACCATTATGATTGAGATCTCTCCTACTTTTATTGACCACCAACTGCTCACGATTATTGTACAAACTTTTAATCAATCTAACTAAGTTCATCATATCTGAAGCCTGACAGGTTGAATATTCATGCATCCATCGATTCAGAAGTCAAGAGAGAGAGAGTGGCGCTGACGTTCGACAATGTCTTCAAACACGGTGACGATAATTCAATTGGTGTTATTGTCTTATAACACTAGCTTCCAGTGGTTTGAATATGATATGCTTGAATGCTATCACGAGTTCACCTTACTCGGTAAACGGAACGGAGAGCCATGACTCAGTGGCTATTCTAATCCGTTTGTCCGCGGCTCGACTAACTAGATCAAGAAGGCTTAGAAAGTGTATTCTACACGCACCCAGAAAACACGAGGCGTCTAATGTCGAGGACGTGAGATCCCCAGAACTCGCTTGATAAAGGTTCTTATTTTGGATTTTATGCTTTCGCATATGGGCTGATCGGTTGACCTTCAGATTGTATTTCCCATACGGAAAATCCTTGACTGTCATTAGTTGATCTGTTATTTTAGTACGCTATTTTTGTGGCTCTCCCAAGAACGCTTCTATCATATATAAATAAACTCGATTTGTGTGCTTGAAATCATCATATTTTCTGGGTGCTTGTAGAATACACATACTACACCATATCAAGACTACTTCTACACTTAGAACGGGAAACGGATTACAGTAACCTATCGTGTCACTGGATCATTGTCTCGAGTTCGTTTGCCGACTAAGGTGAACTCGTAACAGATTCAAGCATATCAATGGACGAGCATAATATCTGAGCACACAAACCCAGATTATTTATACAATAGTAGAAACGCTCCTGGGAGAGCCACAAACGTAGCGTACTAAAATAATCCATCAACCAATAACAGTTAAGGATTTTCCGAGCAGGACGTGTGAGTTGAAGGTCAACTGCCGCGAAAACATGGAAATTCAACATTTCGGATCAAAATGACTAAATTGGGACCTTTCCAAGTGAGTTCTGGGGAGCTAAAGTTCCCAACAGAATACATTTTACAAATATCATAACAACAGCTTCTATACCGTGGTGTTCGAGCCAAGTAAAATAAATGGAATAAAAAACTCGTTCAGACAATAATGATCCTGCTATAGTTTTTTCTCGTCATATTCCTTATAAGAAATGAAGTTCTCTTAACTGGAAAAAATTCTACTTGGTTATAAATTCTCCCACCAATCGGATATGTATAATAAAACAATAACTCAAGTTAAACAATACAATCTATTCAATTCTTTTTTTTTACAGAAAGCAGCAATCAATCAATTTATATAGCAAAAAATGTAAAAATATTCACAGAGGAGAAAAAACATGTATATATAAAGTTATCAAAGATAAATTGGGTTGATATATATATATATATATATATATATATATATATATATATAAGACACACAAGAGGTTATGTATATATGAAATGATCATTGTAAAAAATGATTATAATCCTTAGTTGAATTCTTCCTGGAAATCGAAAACGGAGAAAAAAATTTTTTTAATGTGACTAAATTTAAAACAAAACGGAATATGCAAAAAAAAATTACACAGATAGGTCACTATCAATTAGTTATCAATGAACGAAATTCGACAATGACATAAGAATACAGTTGTTATTATCATCTTTTTTTACTATTAATTAATTTGTCGCACAAATTCACACTTGAATATTGAAACTTGAACATATAGTCTGGTTCAATATTCAACAAATTGTGTAACAATGATAAGATCAATCCAATTAATTTATTTGACAATAAAAAAATATTTAGACTGTCAGATTGTATCGACATAAGTTATCACAGTATGCATTAATAAACACACTGACAACAACTTACCAATGAAGTTGAAAAAAGTGTACGACTAGTCTTAACGAAAATAATTGTAAACGTTCAAAAATGAATTTATCTTTACGTTGGAAACCTTCGATTAGTAGTAATACATTGGAAAATGCGGATGAATTACATACTGCTTCAAAGTTACGTGGTACTTGAAGGGTAACAAAGTGGAAGGGCTACTATGAATAGTATTTACTAAAAATCAAAACCAGCATACATATATATCATCATAGTCTACATATGTTCGGTTTAATTAAAATTTACGCGAAAGTTATGTATAATATTATGTAGTTTATGAAGATAGAGCTTTTTATATGGTCTTTATCGCGACACACTTTGATGATTGATAAAGCGTTAAGAAGAGTGTATAAGCAACTGAATCGGACTACAGAGCATAATAATGAAAATTGACGCCAAAAAGGTTGATTCACTTAAAAATAATACTTATATATATATATATATATATATATATATATATGTACGCTGCGTGTGCGCATGCAGGAAGACACTTTATATGGACATACAGTAACTCACCAAATGATTAACTGAAAAGATTAATCGTCCGAAACAGTACAACGTAGAAAATATCTCCCATGTCTGAATATACAATATTGCTTGAAGAAGAATACAGTGAATAGAAATAGAAAATTTAGATGCATTTCAAGCATTAGCAGTACAAAATACAAGAATAGAATTTCTAATTAATATTTTAAAATAAACAGAAAATAGGCAACCTGGTAAACTAAATATCACAAGCTATTAACACCAAGAAATGGTTTTCAAACTGGAAGCCAAGTATTAAAACTCTTGATTTATTAGCACTGTATTAGATAAAAAGAATCAGGATTGAAAATAGAACCGATTAAGATGCTTTTATTTTGTTAGGATGTTCATCTTATAACGTGACTAGATTTGTATACGTTGAAACAACTTCTTATCCCATTCTTCTTATAACCTTATTCGACATACAATACTTACTATCTCTCACAACGAAAATTTTTAAATTAAATGATTATTATATACTCACTCTAAGAAAAACCCTACGAAGAACTAGTGTATGGACAATCAAACAACTAGACTTTCGATCACTAAAGTGTGATGCTTGATAAATTTTAGCTGGTATCATTAGCCTACTAATATATATTTCAGTAGTAAGAATACGAGTGCATACAGTGTCATATAGAAACCCACATATTTTTAGAGCATAACCAATCATTATCCAACTGTTTAGTGATAAATAATGTCGAATTCTTGAATCAATAAGGCATAGACGAAGTGTCTGTTTAAAATCATAGAGAGGAATCAAGTTAAGTGAGAAGACCATCCGATCTCAGTCATCATTTTCATATCAAATATTCCGGTACAAGTAAGAAAACAATTACGATAAAATGAAATTGAATGTGACATAAGTTGATAAACTGAAGGTTAATAACGACAAGAAATATGCAACCCAAATCATAAAAAATTCTCGGAAATATTACTTACCTTGATGAATGTTCGCATAGCTTTTTCAGACATGCCTTTTGGTGGAAAGATTGGACATTTTTCTTGTAAATCTTTCATTTTGAAACTTGGTAAAGATTCATACAGTGCTAAGATTATATCACGAAACTAGAAAGAAATTTATTAATAAGAGTATTATTTAAAAATAGATATACATTAAACTGATAAACTTCTTGTACATTGGCATTAAAATTAAACAAAGTATACTATGCATACTTATTGAATTATCAGTTAAACATTTCAGATAGGAAAAATATTTCAAGATTGAGAATCATCAGTTAATTTATATCAAATATTCTTATGTAAACAAAACTGTGTATTCATTTAAATAGACTCAGTCAGTCAGCCAGTTACAATGTACAACTCCGAACCTACGTACATCAGTTCAAGTTACCATACCAAATTAGCACAGAGATGCAAATGCCAATTCGAATCTCATAGTAGTAGAGGTAGTAATAGAGAAGATAAGAGTTTGAAAATGTTATTCAAGAAGTATAATCTAATGAAATAAACATAAAAATAAGAAGATAGAGTGATGAGTAATTTAGAATTTTAGGATTTGAGAGAACACAAAGAATGAGTAAACCTGGCGCCAGGTCATTCAAGGTCTCTAACCATCGATTACTATCATCTCGCGGACCCCAACCAGGTAATCGACACCTACCAACATGACTCAGCCCACTTGTCAGTGACTTCATGGATTTGTGCCATGTTTCAGTTTGGCCGCGACCCTAACTTTCTTTACCTACTACTTGGTTCGGAAAAAGTGTTAATTTCTGATTTATATGATCCTGTATTACATCTTATATCTGTAGACATCATTAACGGAATTATCTATACAAAAAAATATACAGAACAGACAGTAGGAAAAAAACACAACATTACAAATAGAGAAAATATCACGTGACACAATATTTTACTTGTGCTATTGATTCACTGACAGCTCCACATTCTGGACCAGCTACTTTGATAACAAATAATGGTTCTTTCTCAAGTGCTGTTGGTATAGTTGGCCAACAAACGGTTAATTCACGCGCATCAATTGTGTGTAAAACTTTTAAAAGATATGTTTTCAATAATTCACGTTCACTTTCTGAGCCTGGTGGAGGTGGTGGACTGTTTTTCCAAAATGTAGCATGAAAATTTGCATTGAAATTGCCTAGTTGTTGCTGAATTAAATAAAGGCATAAAGGTTACATGGGGATGAATGAATTGCATAGTTTACATAATGGATTGACATCAGTTAAACAACCACCGTTGTATGTCGATAAGTAATTGGAATTAGAAATATTAACCGCTGGATGTATACCCAGCGGTCTACAGGTTGTGTTTGCCACGAGGCTGTCAGTAGAGTTAGATGATGAGCACTATTGAACGGTCTGCTAGGAAGCAACAGTTACCTAATTCCTTCTCACTTTCGTTGGTTGTTTTGAAGAGAGAGAAAATGCAAAGATTAATGCAGAATAATATGAATTTATTTTATTTTTTTAGCTTCTCATCAGTCAGTGAGTTACAACGTAGAACTTCGTACTTACGTACATCCATTCAGTTTGCCATACCACATTAGTACAGACACGCAACTGTCAGTTCAAATCCCATAGTGGTAGAGATAGTAGAAGGATTAGCGGCAGTGGAGAATATTAGGGATCGAAGATATTATTCAAGAAGTATAGTTCAGTAAGATAACCTGAGAAAGAGATGATGAGGAATTCTGAAGATTAGAGTTTAACAGAACACAAAGAGTGGATGCACCTGCACCATTGCAAACGATTTTGAGCCATGTCGTTCAAGATCTCTAACCATTGGTGACTTTCGTCTCGCGGACCCCAACCAGGTAGTCTACATCTAGCAACATGATTCAGTCTACTTGTCAGTGATTCCATGGATTTGTGCCATGTTTTGGCTGCCTCTAGCATTCTTCCAACCTACTCCTATACCACAGAACATAGCTCGATGAGACAGACAGTAGTTAGGCATTCGTAACACACCTCAACTGGTGGAGTTCCAATACTTCATCTACGGATATGCCATCCTTACCTAATACTCGATTCCTAACTATAGCATTGCTTGCTCAGTTGTCCCAGGAAATACGAGCAATGCTTCGGAGAAACTTGTGATCGAAAACCAGTAACCTAAGAATTTCTTCTACTCTGATTGGCCATGTTTCGCATTCATATAGTAGGACAGAGTGAACTGCTGCATAGTACACTCGTCCTTTGGTTAGTAAACGGATATCTCGCATACACCGTAAGTGACACGAATTGGCAAAAGCCAATCGAGCCTTCTATATCCGTGCTAGGTTCTCATCAACTGCCTACAAACTATAATATTTCGAAATCACAATTACCATGGAAACTGACATACTTATAAATACAATGATTAGAGACAGATATGTTTCATGTTGTTGCAAAGTTTTCAGTAAAAAATCAGTAAAAATCAAAGTTTGTTAACTAACTCCTTGTCAATATTCATAATGATTTTGATTTGAAAACATCATAGGTTGTAAACAGCCGATGAGAACCTAACGAAATAAAATGAATTCATAATATTATTCTGCATTAATCTTGGGTTTTCGCTCTGTGTAAAATAATCAATGAAACTATGTGTGGGAAATCTCATTGGTTGTCTAACTCTACGAATCAGTTCGTAATATAAAGAATGATGTATAAACACTAATCATCATCATTATTTCGTAAAAATAAAGGAAATTCAGTCAAATAGTAATTATTACTTGATTAATTAATTCATAAATGTGGTAATGAGGTAAAACCTGAATCTAGTTCATAAATATGGTGTGTATGATTTTTCCGCATAAAATGACACAATCAATACGTGATTGAGAGATGGTGGAGAAAATTTGTAGCTCAGCCAATCAGAAAAATCGTAGGCAAACATAGAATTAAGGAAAAGATCAAAAGGGGAATGCAGTCAAAACAAAGGTGCAAACGACAGATTTAAGGTCAATAGTAACCAATCAAGATCAAGGTTACCAGAACAAGCTGAGTCAAACGTGAAGAAAGTCGAATACTTGACTTCTATCCGAAGTTTGTGCTGATGATGTTGTTCAGAAGAACAATGATGAAAGCTCCACAATCAAAACATCCAGATCAGAGAACGAAACACCAGCACAATAAGTGATTGTCTTCATGGTATTCATATTGACACATGCTTCAATGACTTAGATTTAGTTTCTATACAGAAACGAAAAGTATGTGAAATGATAATCTGGTTTTGGACGAAATTTCAATATAGCTAAGGAATACTAAACTGTTATTCATCTTATGCATTTAAATTATGACCATTCGCATAATGATCACGACAACATGTACTGTTTGTTCTATAACGAAATACTGGCGAACTGCGAGGATTGAAGAAACATAACAAGAAACAGTTACACATTACGAGGTCACCTTACTCGGTAAATGGAACGTAGAGCAATGACTCAGTAACACGATAGGCTATTCTAATCCAATTGTAACACTAGTAAAATGTTCGTGCTACATCTTACTATTAATCATACAATTTACATATTCGATATTAACAACTCTTGGGGGATGATGAATACCTGACAAGCACAATTTAAATAGATCAAATTTCTTGAGCAAATGAACTCCGCCTGTAGACACTTCGAGGCTACTGCCAGTCCCAAGCCCAGGTGAAGTAGGGGGGTTGGGCTTCGTGTTGTGTGGACCCCATTTCGCAAAAAACAAACTCGCTAAAAAAACGCTAACAAGAAAAATAACTCAAACCATTTAACCCTGCTTTGGGAGTTAGAAGGTCTTCATTTAGAAGGATTATGACGTCTTATGATGAAAGCCGAGTTCCTTCGGAAATCATGAGGCCGATGCATCTTCTGACAACCAAAACCCTTCCACAATGTGGGTAGCCGGGAAGTTACACCCCCCCTTTATACTCAGAACAGCACACGAGACCAAATTGGTCACAATCAAATCCTTTAGCAAATGACAAAAACAATTACACCACACAGTTGTACACTTGGTTATGACACTATTGTGACAAAGGCGGTATGGAATGTGGTTTAAAGGGATCTATCTCTTACTATGCATAGATTGAGTTCGCGCCATAAAGAGTCCCACACCCTTATGTTTTACAAACTACTCAGGTATTTTCAAAGGCTTCTCTCTTTCACAAACAATTAATCAATTTAAACTGCAGTATCTTCATAGTTGTATGATTATTGTATCATTGATTGCTATTGACTGACAAAATAGCTTCAACTCAAGATTAATGATTTACGTGACAACAGCAAACAAAAAATGCATGTTTCTTTGAAATTTCAATCAATTTACATTATTTAACCATTAACAAAACCAGATTATATCACATTCGAAAATTTCAAGGCTGCGACTAACTCTTACTGACACAAAAGAATATTCAACATCTTTACTCATGTGTACGGTTAACTAAAACACACCCTATAAAATATATTGCTAACAAATACATTTGTTTTCTATTTTTCTGAAATCATAAATCGATCAATGTCAGATCCCTCTATTAGAAACCTGGAAGCACTGGACAGCCGTTTCGTTCAGGTATGGGACTCATCTGTAGTGCGCATCCAGGTTTCTAATGGTGGTCTAACATTGACCAATGCATGATTTTAAAAAGTAATTCGACAATTTCCACAACCCTTCCATGCAAAATATACACTTATCACAGTATTCTGTTTAAGTTTAAACTAACACAATCTTCTTATTTTTTTAAATAAAAGTAAGAGAATGAAGACAATTGTATGCCAATCAATCAATCAACAGCAACGAAGAACTTCGTACGTACGTACGTACGTATATCAGTTCAAGTTGACATACCACATTGGCATACAGAGATGTAATTGTCAATTCAAATCCCATGGTAGAAGAGGTGATAAAGGTATTAGCAGTAATCGGAGAGATCAGGGTTACAAGATATTATTTAAGAAGTAGCATCTAGTGAAATAAACTTAAAAAGAAAAAGTGATGAGGAATTCAGAAGTTTAGGATTTGAGAGAACACAAAGAATGAATGCATCGGCGCCATTGCAAACGATTTTGAGCCATGTCATTCTAAATCTCTAACCATCGAATACTATCATCTAGCGGACCCCAATCACGTAGTCGACACCTACCGACATGACTTAGTCCATTTGTCAATGGCTTCATGGATTTGTGCCATGTTTTGGTTTGGCTGCCCCTGGCTTTCTTCCAACCTACTCCTCCTACACCACAAAACAAAGCTCAACATGGCAGTCGCTAGTTAGGGAGGGATACGTAACACATGTCATAATTGTATGTGTAGCATATACGATTATTAAAAAGAAAGGTATCAAAATAAATAGATAAGCCAAACAACAATATAGCTAACCTGATAGATCTTAGTTAATGCAGATAATGCTACAATCGGTTGAGTATTTAAAACATTTTTTACAAAATTAATTGAATTATTCACAAACACTTCTGGTAATTCATCATTGATATTGTCAATATTTAGTAAATTATTATTGTTACTGTTGTTGCTGTTGTCATCTTTATTTGTGTCATGAACAGATTGTAATGGTGTGCGCAGTGAATCAACATGATCACCGATAGGATTAATTCGATCAGACAATTCAATATTACCATTGATTTGATCATTATAACAATCATTCATGACAGGTGACTGTGAGAAATTTTGAAATGATGGTGAACGTTTGAGCTTAGCTTGTTCAACATCTGAATCAGCAGTGGAAACTGAAGCAACAACGCCGGTAGTAGTAGTAGTAGCGGCAGCAGCAGTATCACCGGTATCACCATCCACAGGACTATCAGGTTCCACTTTACAAGCAACTGTCTGATTATTCAATGAATCTAAAAGATAATTGAACAGAAATCAATCAATGCTTTTTTCTAACAGAGTACTGACAACCAAATATCAATCAATCAAGCTATCAACAGCAACGCAGCACTTCGTACGTATGTACATCAGTTCAAGTTGCTATACAACACTAGCACAGAGATGTAATTGTCAGTTCAAGTCATAGAGTAGTAGGGGTAGTAAAGGTATTAGCAGTAATCAGAGAGATTAGGGTTCGAAGATATTATTCAAGAAGTAGAATCTAGTGAAATAAACTTAAAAAGATAAAGTGATGAGGAATTCAGAAGGTTAGGATTTGGGAGAACATAAAGAATAAATGCACCTGCGCCATTGCAATCAAATATCACATGTTATTTATCACTAGTATATGACAGACTACATAATGAGGAAAAGAAAATAGTTCAATATTCAATTCACCAATAATCAACAGTGAAAGATTAAAAAGAAATGAAGTAGCTAAACCGTCTCATCTTTCGAACGTAACGATAATCAATACAACAATAAGAATTGCGTGTTGATTTTCCATCGAAAAAGAAACCAATCATGGGAGCATAATACTTGATCTTACTTAGTTGGGGTACAGCTAATATTATTCAGAATCTTGTAAATATTTTATTTCATATGGAAATCGACTTGATTTTGCTTTTCTTTTCAAAAAGCATATGAAATATGGTATTATCAGAATATGAGATTAAAATCTACTCACTTTCATTGGTCCATATATAAGTTTTCATACAATCGATTGACTAGTTACTACATAATGGCTTAGTACTGATCAGAGTAGGGTGAGTCCACTCTCCCTATTGAAATGACCTCATAGGGCGAGGCGCGCAAAACCACTAACAGAGAAAGTTAAACTCCCTGGATTCTCGTGGCCAGGATGTTGTTGATGAAATTGAGAGAACGAGAAGCGAATGTCCGACAATTAAACCGGGTTGGTGTACAGAAGATAGATACGCTTAGGGCACTGATAGAACCTTGATCCTAAACTAATAGTGCAATAGACGCCAGGATACCGAGGGAGTAAATAGCATATGAGCCTATTGTTGGTGACCTGCCCACCATGGGTCTGAGTCTGATGTTGCCCCATTGTCTTTTGCATTGGATCTCTAAGTTAAAGGTTTTGGGAAGTGGCCCTCTAAGAAAGCCATCCCTTTCGGTTTGGGCACTCGAATTGTATCCTAACCCAAACAAACTCGATTTTTTGTGTGATGCATCAGTATACTTCGGTTCCTTCTCGTACCAATGCATATGTGTTTAAATAAAAAATAATATCCATAAATTAGTTTTCATATAAGCAATCGACTAGTTACTAGAAAATTCAAAAATTACTATTCAGTCGTGGAACAACAAATAAAATATCACTTATTAGCAAAACAACAATTAATTCGGATTCTTATCAAAGTCGAGCATTTTATCATTTAAACATATAATTATTGATTACAAAAAGGGGAAACTAAATATTTATGTACCAAACAATTTATTGAATTTGTGTGTGGGTTGGAATACTATTTGGATGCTCAAACCAAAGAGGAGATGGTTTCGTTAGAGTGCCACTCTCCGAACTTTTAACATGATGATCTATTGCACAGGACAAAGGACCAACGTCAAACGTAGCCCTATGGTGTCCAGTCACCAACAACAAGTTCATACTCCATCAGGATCCTGGGGTTCATTTGCACTAATTGTTTGGGATCAAGATTTTAACACTCTCCTAAGTGAATCTTCTGTACCAAACAACCAGCCTAATCGTCGAATATTCGCCTCTCGTCCTTTCAATTTTTTTTACAACACCCCTGACACGAAAAGGCAGTATGATTAACAGTGGAATCCATGACAAATGTTTAGTCCGATTTAGGATTTATCAGTTAAATATGCTTCCATCCCACTGTTGATGGTTACACTAAAACTTAAAACCAACATATAACACATTATTCACCGAGTTACGAGCCCAGAATGCTGATAGCTTGTGTAAACGATTGTTAACCAACCTGAATTATTTGAAGTACTATATATATATATATATATATATATATATATATATATATATATATATATATAGAGTACACATGTGAAATAACAACAAATATGCCTTTATCTTACTTGCTACCGATGAAGCTTGTGAATTATCGGGAATCTCTGGAGAAACAGGTGTATTATTTACTTTTGGCTTCGGAGAATTTAGTTTAACAGATCGTGGGCTGATAGGTGTACAAAATTCTGATGATGCAGCATCTTTTTGAAGAGAAGAAGATAATTTAGTAGTAGTTGTTGTAGTAGAATGAGGAGGAGACGATAAACCACCAGGAGGAGAATAACTCGATGAAAGACTTTGAGTTCGTATACGTTTAGAATCAGGTGATTTTGATGAATTTCTATTTTTTTCAGTATCTGTTGTATGACATACACTGGATTGACGTACACGTTTACGATTTGTATTTTTACCTGGAGTTGAAATATGTACACCTGAAACAAGTGATTTAAAGCCAGTCTCAGAGTCGGAACCACTTTCACCGGAATTTTGTCCAGGATTACGTTTACGTCGGACTCCGTCTTAAGAAAAAAAAAGACAAACAATAAATATCACATAAAGCAGAGTGTAGTGTAAAAAATAAATAAGCTTTTAACACTTATGTAACACACATGACAAATATGTACATCAAGGAGCGAACAATAAGATAGCTGCTGCTGATTGAATAATTTAATGATAGCTCACAGTGATACCAAAACACTTACTTATAAAAAGACATTAGTTAACACAAAATCAATTAGTCCCAAGTTAGGGTCAGATCAAATCACACAGCTTTCAACTAGTACCTCAGAGGTTCGAACGTTATCCTTCTTAATTCAGTTTTAATAAGCGAGTAGTAGCATTAACTTTCATAGGAACAATATGTAGTTAGAAGTTATATACATAAATTAGTACTTGACCAATTAGTTACATAACATAAAAAATTAATATATATCCATGTGAACTTTGCCCTGGAGAAATTAAGTTTGGCTAACTAATCAGCTTATCTACACATGTTTCAAGTGAGAAATAGTGCAAAATCTTACAAACTGAGCAAATAAAATTAAAAGTATTCTCTTCGGTAATTTCTGTTATGTGAAGTTGTGAAGTTCAGTTGAAAGACAGAACATCAATCACTATTAACAATGTATTCTCACAATCCAGTTAACAATCAAGAGAACACTTTATCCATGGACATATTAGGTATTTGAGAAAATTAGAAAAACAAAAATATAGGCGAATAATATTGTTTTCGATTAGACTGTCATCAAGCTTTACTCTCTAATATACATGAATATTTCTATGAAAATATTAAACCAATCAAGGCAATTTATAAGGTCAATAATCATAATGAAAAAACAAATACAGGATGTAAAAATAATGCTTATAATAACAAAAATGAAATTTTCAAAAAAATTTGTTTTTTTGGCTAAGTCATATCCAGCCACAAAAGAGATAAGAGTGACACGAATTTCTTCTGAACACATGAATTGAGGTTGAATATACGAATGCCTATGGCTTCTGCAATGTGTAGGAGACGGGATCGAACTCCGTTGGGAAATGATGGAGGTATACGATAGATCACTCGAAACGATCTAGATTTATCTACAATATGACCACTATCAACTAGATGTGCTAAGATAAAACTGCATATTGTTTTTAACTGGCCCTTCATAAACCATAGAGGGAGATGTTCACTCATTCGTTGTGTAAGTTGCCTGGTAGTACGCCCGATATAGCTATCTCCACAGGAGCAGCTGAATTTGTAAATGCACATAGAGGAGGCCAACTCAAGTAACTTATCCTTTGTTTGGGTAGACATCGTTGGTCGACTTGAGAAGATCAATGCATGTTTGACTGCGTAGAATGTTTCACTAATTAGTTTCGTTAATCTGTTCTGCAGAGTATCGCTAGCCACATATCCGTTTAATAAATAAAGGCTTCTTTCGAATAATCGAAGTCTCCGACTTCTTTTTCACATTATACATGTACTTCTTTTTATGAACGCACTAAGGTAGCCGATTTCGGTCAGTGAGCTATTGATAAATTCCAGCTCTTGACTTAAAGTATCCACTGAAGAGACCGATATTCATGTATATTAGAGAGTAAAGCCTGATGACGATCTAATCGAAAACAATATTATTCGCTTATATCTGTGTTGTTCTAATTTTCACAATAGTAATCTTTAATTTATTTAAGAAAATGACACTTCAGTTAATGCTCCATGTAAGATTCAAGCCCGTGTGTCACTCAGTTTCATTATCATAGACGTTATCGCTGGGCTATATATTATTCAAGATTTAAATGGTTTTTTAGAAGAAGTGACGCAATTACAATGATCAATTCATTAGAAATAACCAGTGTTGCATTTATCACTCTCTAGTACTGATTGAATTCGATCAACTAAATTAGTTAAAGTAACTGCTACACATAATCAGTAATACTTCTACATCATCGATAAACATCAATCTACGCTAATGATTCAATAAACATTACGTCAATTACTACTTAGTACAGATATTCTATAAGACATAATAAAATTGTACATGGATAAAACATGAATTATATTAAGCCAAGGCATACCCGACACTAGATGTTCTAGTTTTAATCGTGTACATAATTGACGAATGCGAATCTCCCAGGCAACTTGTTGTTGTTGTACAATATCTGGATATCTAAAGCAGAAAGAGAGCGAGAGAGAGGGAGGTAAAACAAAACTAAGTTAACTAATTATTGATTTATGCTTGAAAAAGACTCATTTTTGTCGTGTTTCGTTAAAAAACAAAACAAAGGTGATTAAAATAAAATGAGAACAATATTAGCAAATGTGATTCTTCACTCTATACGTTAATTTGTCATGTGATTAGGTTGTATTAAAAGATACAATTAATAAACAAAGTATTGAGAATAATTACAAGCCAACAAGTTGTAGTATTTACACAACTAATTGATAATCGCAATGAAAATGTATTTCGACTTGTTGTGAGAGGTTGATTGAGAGAGAGAGAGAGATAGAACTTTCAGAACTATTTCACAATGAATTATGATACATATTTTTCTCACTATCATGTGTTCACTAGTGACTAGCTTCGTGAAGGAATTCTCGGAGTTTCAGTGAGAAGCTGCAACCAGTGAAGCTCAACGGAAAGTCCTGGTTTCGATTCCCGCCTGTGAGTCGTGGCTGTTTACTAGTGATGAGTCTCATACTGTGAAGAAGCGACCGTCCAAAGCTTCCAGGTTTGTAAAGGCTAAACATTGATAGATTCACAATTTGGAACATATTCTTTTGTGCAGTTATTAAATACAAGGGTTATGGTGTACTATGTTGCTTTTATTATAGGCTTTCATTACTTCATTTTACTGTCCCTAAAATATCGTTCATTAGTTATAGGCATATCGTTCGGTTCTGTATGACCTATGACTCGGCTACGTACACAATGTGATTTCTTATTTAAGATGATTGATGTATATGATCTTGCGACGTAGCGAGTCAGGTTAGAAATGCCATCATAAAAAGGTTAACCAATTTTCTGTCTTCGCGTTATGGCCAGGTACCGTGGATTAAAATAGCTCAGTGGATCGACAGGCAATAATCGATTCAATATTTACTGACGTGTTGGGGACGTTAGATCCTCAGGACTCACTTGGAAAGGTCCTAAATTCGTAGTACTATTCTGATATTTTGAATTCTCATGTTTTCGCGCCAGTTGGCCTTCAGCCCACATTTCCGCCTCGGAAAATCCTTGACTATCATTGGTTGATGGATTATTTTAGTACGCTATTTTGTGGTTCTCCCAAGGGCGTTTCTGTCATGTATAAATAAGCTCGATTTGTGTGCTTATCGACCCTGTATTTGCTGAGTGCTTTTAGAATACATTCTCTACACCCTATCAAGACTTCTTGACCTATCGTGTCACTGTATCACTGCTTTCGTTCTCTTTTCAGAGTAAGGTGAACTCGTAATAGCATTAAAGTCTATCAATTGACGAGCATATCAATTGGCGACAGTGGTTTTTGAAACATGGATCCTTCTAAGCTTGAATTATTACTTGAGCGGCAGCTGAAATTAATGCACATGTTGACAGATATAAAGATTTTTCCTTTAACACAGCCCAGCTCATCTAATGCAACCACAGCATCATCAAAAGATGGCATCGCAAATAGGATTGCTGAGTTTCATTATGATACTGATGCCAACGTTACTTTTGACATCTGGTTACGGCGTTATGAAGACCTATTTAAATTTGATTTTGCTAATCAAGATGATGCCTGGAAAGTTTGGCAAGCATTTCATGATGACTAGTTACGTTGTTGGTTAAAAAAATCACTTATTTGAAAGGTAGAAAGTATTATTTTTATAAGCGAACTGTTAAATTAATTGTTGTCAATTTGTATGGATGTACGAAATTAAGATTATAACACAATTAAACCATAGATCAGTTAGGTATATCTAAGTTATTTAGTTTTGTCTATAATGTAACGCTTGGAAAAAGTATTCTGCCAGAGAATTTTCACTAACTGCCAAAAGAGAGTGATACCACGAATAGCAGGCTTAAATTTTAAAATATCACACGTTCACAATCTCATTGACATGACACTTAATCAATGGTTAGAGGATATAAATGACATGGCTCGAAATCAATTTTGATAATACAGATGTATTTATACTTGGAATTTCTTGAGATTTTCAATTATATTATTATTTCAGGCTTTTCAATAATTTCCTTAAAATGGTGTTCTTTATATCTGAGTTCTTTTTATCTATCAGACATTGTGATTACCTTTACTTCTTTATGACACATCATGTGTTGATATTCCTAAAGTAACACATCCGAGGTCGATTGGAGTTAGAAGAATTCATCGGCTTTTTGTTATGATTATATATGAAAGGCAGTACATGGTTTTGCGATAAATAATCAACCAGATTAAAAAACTTATATTTAGAATGATAAAATTAGTTACAATAACTAACTATTAGCATAAGATGCCCAATTCAATATAACTGGACAAGTATAAGTGTAGCAATCAATAATGGAATAAACTTAGCTTATGATTAACCAATGAAGTGTAAGGAAGAAGAGTTTATGATAAAAAAAACTGCTACTTATAAGTAGTACAAATACAATACATAGGTTTTGCAACGTCCTCAATTCCCGCTTAATGTACTCGTGGCAACTTGATCTGTGTCAGGATATGCGGTTTTTGATAATTAATTGACAAAAAATCGATAATTATGTGTTGCAATAAGTGCCATACACTTTTGATGATGGGAACAAGCAAAAGAAGACGATCATCAAACGGAAAAAAAACACTAGAACAATGTAACACTAACTTCTTGATAAAATCATAATCAGTCGGATGAAATTCCCAATGATTTGCACAACCTTTTTGCGCGGTTGACATTTTACATGCTAAAGATTTTAGCATTTCTGTAGCTTCAACAGTAGGCACCTAAATATTGCAAAAGAAGATAATACGTAAACAACATAGTTAACTAAACATAACAATTAAACTGAATATAGAAAAGATATGTGGCTTCAAATTGAAGCAGAAAAAACACACAAAATAACTGTAAATTTAAAAGGTTGCAAACAAGATAGGCGTAATTCAATAGACAAGAAGAATATATTTTCATGATAGGGTTGTGCAGATTGTTAAGTATCACAGAAGCCATGGATCGATCATTGTTAGACCACCATTAGAAACCTGGAAGCACTGGACGGCCGTTTTGTCTTAGTATGAGTCCAGGTTTCTAATGGTGGTCCAACATTGATCAATTCATAATTTCAATGAAACTCAACAATCTCCACATACCCATAATGAAAATTATCATGTGCCCAATGATGACTAGCTCCGTGAGAAAATTTCTCCGAGCTCTAGTGAGAAGTTACAACCAGTGGAGTTCAACAGTCAGTCAGTCAACAACACAGAACTTCGTATGTATGTACATCAGTTCAAGTCGCTATACAACATCAGCACAGAGATGTAATTGTCAATTCAAAATAGAAGTAGTAGAAGTATTAGCAGTAATCGGAGAGATTAGGGTTCAACGATATTATTCAAGTACAATCTAGTGAAATAAACTTAAAAGAAAAAGATAAAGGTTATGATTTGAGAGAACGCCTGCGCCATTACAATCAGCTTTCAGCCATCGATTTCTATCATCTCGCGGGCCCCAACCAGGTAGTCGACACCTACCGACATGACTTAGTCCACTTGCCAGTGACTTTATAGATTTCTGTCATGTTTTGGTTTGGATGCTCCTAGCATGGCAATACATAGCTCGATGAGGCAGTTAGTTGATAGGAGTTCAACCCCGTCGAGTGTGAAGCAATGTCTACCGAAGACAATGGATGAAGTTGAGCGATAGCCTGGATTGATCGGAGTTCGACATTAACACCGTTGGACGCCAGCTCAGTGGTCTTAAGGTTGAGCGTTTTCGTGCGGGACCAACAGTCTTTGGTCCGACTACCGAGTGCGTGAGTTGTGGATGCACACTGCTGATGAGTCCCATGCTCAAACCAATGATATAAATTTAAATTAAAATTGTTAGGTTGATTCATTGATCATCCATTTAGTATATTCAATTATGACACGTTTTTAAACTAAATTAATTATTTGCAACTTTAATTTCATTACAACAAATGTGACTGGTTGTATTCCTGTCTTTTTTTTTAACTCGCTATCTACAATAAGAAGTTCAATTTGTGTAAAATTAATTCATACTGAGATGAATTCACTGATAGATAATTAACATTGATTATTTTGTGATGATTAATAAAAATTATAAAACTCTATCACAATTGAGAAATTTTCAATGAAATATAAAATCACAATAAATTAATCAATACGACGGAGCATGTATTCATCACACATAAAAATAAATAAATCAATTGTACCATAACGAGAAACCAAATGGAATAAAAGAAACAAATCTTTGCTCAAATTACATTTCTCAGCAACTAACTGATTAAAATAAAAAATTATTCATTTTAAAACTTTATTCATCAATGTTATACGATAAGAATTAAGTAAAAAATGCGAGACTAGTTATAAAGTAATAAATCCGCCTCGAGCCCTTCTGAAGTAACTGCCGCTCCCAAGCCCGGGTAAAGGAGGAGGGTTAGGCATGGGGTTAGCAACCCCATCCCCCAGAAAACCAACTCGCTAAAAGACGCTAACCAGAAAAAAATAATTCAAACCATTTAAAACCATGAGCAACAACCTACTATGGGAGAAAACAAAGAAGATTCTGGATGAGAAAGAAAGCAGGAAAAAGTGCTGGAAGTGGATAGGAAAGCACCTGACTACGTCACAAAACAAACCATCACCTGGAATCCTCAACGCTAAGGAACACATTACGCTGAGAAATGAAGACAGACATGAAAAGAATGAACAGCAATCTGGTAGAACTGGAAAGGAAGGCCTAGGACAGAGTAGGCTGGAGAATGCTGGTCAGTGGCCTATGCTCCACTAGGAGTAACATGCATAAGTAAGTAAGTACGTAAGTAACATATAGTAATAAGCATTAGGACCATAAATGAGTGACATGAATTCCAATGCACTAGGAAGCATCAGCCTCCTCAACATTACAGGTAAGACAGTCTTACCAGTACCAACTAGCACAACATATGTGGGTAGAGTTGTCTATCGACTATGTTTAACTACTTAACATCTGATATGCTCATCAAATGATATGCTTGAAACCATTACGAGTTCAGCTTACTCGGTAAACGAGAGAGAAGCAATGATTCATAGACACAATAGGCTATTTTAATCCGTTTGTCCACGGCCTGGCTAACTAGATCAAGAAATCTTGATATGGCGTAGAGAATGTATTCTAAAAGCACCCAGCAAATACAAGGTTGATAAGCACACAAATCGAGCTTATTTATACATGACAGAAACACCCTTGGGAGAGCCAAAAAATAGTGTACTGAAACAATACATCAACCAGTGACAGTCAAGGATTTTCCGGGTGGGAAGTGTAAGCTCAAGGTCAACTGATCAGTCCATGCGCGAAAACAAAAAATCCGAAATCAGGACCTTTTGCAGTGAGCTCTGGGGATCTAACGCCCCCAATAATATCTTAGATTAGTTTTCCAGTTTAATGTTATAATGTTCAATTGGTGTAAATAGAGAACATTTAAAAATAGTAATTTATAAACTTTACTGTTTTGAGATCTAATAATTTTATCATCAATACAGTTAATGAACTAGAGTAAGATGATGTGTACTTTTAAAGCGGAAACATAAGAATAAGCGAAAAACACCGCTTATTTGAGACAGATGAATAAATTGCAAACTTTTGGAATTTTGGAAGGTTTCATGTGTTAATATAAATGAATAGGAATCGAAGATATTAGTAAGCTAAATAAACTGAATTGTTAGTGGTTTTAGATGTATTTAATCCACTTTTAGACCTCAACTATAGCTGCTAGCTTGACATGGAAGTCGGGCACATTGTGAACAATGACCTAATCAAGGTAATTGGATTCAACATTTATCCCTTCAAGTTCAACATTGGTAAGTCGGTCGAAGAACAGTAAGAATAGAACTAGTAAACTCATGGTCTGAAGGTGAAGTTTTACTGGCAACTGTACTGGGGTGCAATGGAAGTAAGAAATATTTCTCAGAATATTAGCATCCATAATGACACCGGCTTCTTACAGCAAAACGAGGGAGTTGAAAAATGTCAACCATAAAATAAGTACGCTCCATATTGTCTCACGGATTTCCGATGCCAGGGATAAAATCTTTAAAGTACTGACCTAACTTATCTGAAAATAATCACAGGAGTGTTTGTGACCGGTAGTTGTCTCTTGTGCTCTACAGTCCTTGCTCCCAGACCTCTAAGGTCACCACCAATAATCTAGTTTCTTTGTCAGGCTCTTCAGAAGGAAATGTCTTTTACACAGTATGGGTAATATGAAAAGTGTTAACCGTTTAAGATCACCTTGTTCATGACAGAATTTTTCAGTACTGGTACATTTTTTCGTAAACTCAAGCTTCTTATCGAATCGACTCAGTATTTTATTTGGATTTGTTATCAAGTCAAAATCAATAAAATAAAAATTGCCCATTAACCTACTTTGGTCATACATGAAATAGTTTTACGAGTTAAATGTTCACCGCGATGGAATACAGCCATCTAAAACAAGAAACAATAGAGAAGTATACATGATATATACAAATACGGACATTATAAAAATAATTTATTTTAGTTTGATCATTTACAAGAAGAGATTCCTTTGACAATTCGAAGAGTTTTCATAATTGATCTTGTTACGCATGCACGTAAACACGTCACTAGATATGCTTGAACTATTACGAGTTTACCGTGGTCGGAAAACGAGAGCGAGGATCGAGGATCCGGTGACACGAAAGGCGACTACTCTCTAATCCGAACGTCCCAAACCCCCACTGAGTAAACGAAGAAGACTTGATATGAAGTAGAACCTGTATTCTACAATCATCCAGAAAGTACGAGGTCCGAGTCCAACAGAGAATCAGGATTCCGGACTGAAGATCCGGGTCATAAAATGTTACAGATAATGCATATTTATACATTTAGGTCGAACATGAAACAACATTGAAGTCTGTGACATTGATAGTTAAGACGACAAATAGGAAACAACATTTGAAGTGACATTGATAGTTTGAACGACCAATAGGGACTGATCAATACAATTAGACTTACAAACAATTATCTTAGGATATTGGATCTGAAGTTAACATGTTACTTAATTATTGAATTAAGTTAAAGTATGACAAATGATACTTGATAAACGGATAAATTCATGTAATGTAATGTAATGACATAACTCAATGAAAGCTTTCTTTGTAATGCACATTGTTTGTAAGTATGAATTCGATATAAAAAAAAAACAGGTAATACTTAGTTAATAAACGTTTAATTGGAATTGCCTTATATTGCTTTATATCATTATACTAAACAATATAGTGTTTACGATGGACGATAGATAGATAGATATATAATCATAAAAGTAGTCTAAGTAACAAAGTTGATCAAAATTTTCAACATCACTAACGAATTACCAACTTTATCTGATATCATACACTTAAAACTAGTGTTTCGCAGCACTATAAGCAACAAATTCTCCGGCGAAACTTACGATCCAATATTTGTAAATTATGCATGCATGTCATATTATACACTACAAATTACTGACCACCATTGGATATTTCAGTGGATATTTTGTTTATGCACTTGATGAGACAAGTTGACAAAAAACCTGATTATGATGCTTTTATCGAGGAGATAGTGTCACCCCACTAACCAATAACAATAAATGAAAGCAATAGATTTTCTCTATAATCAAACACGTCTAAAAAAAATATTTGAAATCTAAAGAAGGAAATACTAGTTATTCAAATAATTTTGATGATGAAATCGGTAATTTTAAGATCATGTTTAGCTGTCTCACGAATTTCAAACATGCACATCGAAATAAAATAATAAAACGTCGACTGAGAAATCAACATCTTGAATTAAATTGTTGATTAGGTTGAAGGGTCCTATATCGGAAAGAGATATTAGTCCATTGTTGCTTACTTTTCAATGATTATCTATCTAGTTAAAGTTGGTTTGTGATGTAAATTATCATCATACTGAATAATCTTCACACTTTCGATTCTTTCAATAAAAAATACTAGAATTTTAACCATTTTTTAATCAAATCTCAATTCGAATCCGCAACCTTCGGTCTTGCACGCGAACACCTAATCTCTGGACCACTGAGCAGGTATCCAACGGCGTTGTCTAACTCTGATTGATCTAGAGATTTTGCGCGACCGGGTTCAAATCCTGCGAGGTGCAGGAGTCGTGGATGCGCACTACCAAGACGAAACGGCCGTCTTTCAGTGCTTCCAGGTTTCTAATGGTGGTCTAACAATGATTGATTGATGATTTTTTTTAATCAAATAGAAACAACAAAAATAACTTTGCGAAATGAAACTTACAATATAATCACGTGCAAGAACTAACAATGCACTTGGTGTACCACTATGTTCACTGAATGAATATGGTGGATAAAGAATTTCACTAGAAGAAAAGAAGATGACAAATATGAGAAAAAAAAGGCATAGAATATAATTGCTGTAAATATATCACATATAGTTTTTATAAATAATATCCTTCCTGTACTGAGTGTCCAATCTCTGTCAAACCATTCGTTGAAATATTGACGAATATTGAATGAAATTAACATTCAATGTTAACAGTGTGTAGTGTTATATCATTATGAAATGAACCGAGGTATGAATCCAACAGAGAGGAGATAGAGGGAGTGAGTCAAATCCCATAAGATCTTAGGTATGCCTTGTTGATGAAGGTTAACTAGTACGAAATGGAGTGTCCTACCTAGTACAACTACCTTTAAATAATTAATCATTTTAAGAAAATACATGCTATTGCATATGTGAAAACACTTGATTACCTTTTAGCGACCCACCATCCACGAAGTAGAACAGCATATGTCGGTAAATATTGTAAAACAGTAGCGTTAGTAACTGAATGGGGATCTTTGAAGCGTTCACGTAAGCAAATAACCAACTTGTCGAATCGAATAAGTTGTGCTATGAAATGGTGAAAAAAAAATGACATCAAAGAGAATCATCAGTCAGGCAGTCAACAACAACACAGAACTTCGTACGTAAGTACGTACGTACATCAGCCCACGTTGACATACAACATTAGCAAAGAGATACATTTGTCACTTCAAATCCCATAGTAGTAGAGGTAGTAAAGGTATTAGCAGTAATCGGAAATGATAGGGTTCGAAGATATTATTCAGGAAGTAGAATCTAGTAAAATAGATAAAGTGATGAGTAATTATGAAGGTTAGGATTTGAGAGAACACAAAAATGAATGCACCGGCGCCATTGCAAACGGTTTTGAGTCATGTCACATAGGGTCTCTAACCATCAATTACTATCATCTCACGGGCCCCAATCAGGTATTCGACACTTACTAACATGATTCAGTCCACTTGTCAGTGATTTCATGGATTTCTGACATGTTTTGGTTTGGCCAACCCTACTTTTTGTCCAACCTATTCCTACATCACAAAACAGCTCGAAGAAGCAGTCAGTGGTTAGTCATGCACCACACATGTCCCAGCCACCTAAACTGATGACAGTTCAATACTTCATCTATTGATTTGCTGTCTCTACCTAGTACTCGTTTCCTAATAACAGCACTGCTTACTCGATTGTCCCAAGATACACGAGCAATGCTTCGGAGACATCGATGATCGAAGACTACCAACCCACGAATGTCCTCTGCTCTTAATCGCCAAGTCTCGCATCCGTACAGTAGGACGAAGTGAACTGCTGCACAGTACACTCATCCTTTAGTCAGAAAACGGATATCTCGCTTGCGCCATAGGTGACGTGGGTTGGCAAAAGCCAATCAAGCCTTATGTATCCGAGCTGAGATTTCATCAGTCATCAGGTCATCAGCACTGATGAGACTCCCAAGATAAGTGAAGCGGTCTACACGTTCGATTACTTCACTCCCTATCACTAGTTCAGCTGCCGATGAAATCCAATCTTGAAGCAACATTTTGTATTTCGAGGGGATAAAACCGCATCCCGAATATGCTCGCATTGCTGCTTAGAGTGATCAGAAGACTGCATTTTGTCAGCCTCTTCACCAAGTAGGACTATTTCATTGGCATATTCCAAATCAATAAGTGAGCCACCTGGTAGAAGGTCTACTCCTGAAAATTCAGATGAGGATAAGGTTATTTCTAGGAGCATATCTATGACAAAATTAAACAAGAATGGAGAGAGTGGACATCCCTGACGCACACCACTTAGAGTAAAGAATTCCGGTGACAGTTCGCCACAAGCTCTCACTCGACCAGTGGTGTTCGAGTAGAGGGCTTGCATAAGGTGAATGTACTTCTCTGGTACACCTTTCAATGACAAACACTGCCACGGAACCTCACGGTCCAGTGAGTCGAAGGTCCAGGAAGACAACTATTGTCGGACGACTAAATCTGTGTTCATGTTCCAAGACCTGTCGTAGTGTGAAGATGTGGTCTGTATAGCTACGTCCAGGTCGAAAACCAGTCTGGTTTTCTCTAGTCTGCTCTTCACGAGCTATTGTTAGGCGTCTAAGGATAATCGAGGCTAACAATTTAGAAAATATATTAGTTAGACCGATTCCACTGTGATTATCACAAGAAGACTTGTCCTTTCTTATAAATTAGGACAATCAAGGATTGAGACCACTCGGATGGGATTACGTTCAGTTCCAAGATTCTACCTAAGATTTCAGTCAATCTAGCTGCTAAAACTGGACCACCATCCTTAAATATCTCAGGGATCAGTCTATCACGACCTGCAGCTCGCCCTCGCTTCAGATTTCCTATAGCTTTCTCAACTTCGAAAAGCCTAGTGGGACTTATGTCGATTTGCCATTCAGGATGACTGGAGATCGTGGGTAACGGAAGTGTGGTTCGAGGCCAGTTGAACTGATCCCTAAAGTGTTCTGCCCATCGATCCAGTCTCCTGGATTGAGAATAAATAATAGTCCCATCATTTTCCGAGATAGTCTCACTTACACTAGGATTCCTAATACCAGTTTCCTTGATAAGTCGGAAAAGTTGTCTACTGTTGCCTATCACCGCTGCATTTTCCATCGCTTTTGCTTTCGCTACCCACCACTGTTCACGGTCGTTGCGCAGGCTTTTTATCAGCCTGCGCTTAAGCTGACTTCGTTCTTCATCATGTTCAGAGCCAGATGAGATGAGTTTTCTGGCAGCCATCAGTTCCGTGGATGCTACAGAGATCCATGGCTTCATTCTAGACTTATGGTCAACCTCACTAGCAGATATCCACAGCCTTTTTGATATCATTCCAACCTGTCTCCGGATGGGAATCGCTTAAATGGTCACCTAACTGTCTTTCTAGTTGTTCCTGAAATATATTCTTCGCCTTATTATCATTAAGTAAAACCCTACGAGGCTTCCTTACGGTGTCTTTCCTACGCCCAGTAAGCCTCAAACAAATACTAGCTCGCACTAGAGCATGATCTGAATCCAAACATGTACCCCAGAACGAGCAACAGTCCTCTATCGAACCTCTCCATCGGTGGCTGATGGCGATATGATCTAGTTGGGTCCAACGTTGAGACGACTTCAGGGGTCGCCAGGTCAAAAGGTGCTTTTACTTATGCCTAAAGTTAGTGTTTGCTAGAAATAGGCAGTTATCCGAGCATACTTGCAACAGACGGTCGCCATTGTCTGTTCTCTGAGCCGCAACACCATAACATCCACAAAAGGTGTTTTTTATTTTCACTTAGTCTACCTACATGAGCATTAAATTCACCAGCCATTATTACTACATCAGAGTGCCTAACTTTTTGGAGTAGGTCCGAAAGCTTTCTGTAGAACTCGTCTTTCACCTCTTCTGAACTGCAGTCAGTGGGGCATAAGCAGATACGACGAAGAGGCAACGACGAGTGTCCCTATCCTTTCAAATCCTTACTGTCCCGTTTAGTCGGACGGCGCACAAGCGACTATCTACTGGGATCCATTCTAGGAGCGCTAGTTCTGCCCTACGACTCAATGCTATACCTAGACCCGCAAGACTCCGGGAAGCAGCATCAGGGCTTCCAGATACACGAAGAGTAAAGCGAGCTGCTTCTTTATTTTGACAAGGCGAAATCAGATTATTGACTTTACTAGGATCGTACATGCGCGTTTTCGAGACGCAGCATACATCGATTGAGCGAGATTCTAAAGTCCTAGCTAACGAAGCCTGTTTCCCTATTTGAAATAATGTACGTACATTAAATGCTCCAACATGTAGTTTAGAGCGGGGCTTCAGGAGACTAGAAATGACGTTTCGTGAACTCGCATTGTTTGCATTAGCTGTGCACTGAGATCAAGGAACGTGAGAAGAGTCAGTCGTGGAGATAAGAGAGGTATTAGAGAATGTAGGGAGGATTTGATTTTGATCAATTTGGTCTCGTGTGCTGTTACGGGTATGAGGGCGGTTGTCACTTCATGGCTGCCCACACCGTGGAAGGTTGTTTCTTGAGGGACCTGAGAAGGAAGATAGATTAGTGTTGGTCTTGGAGAACTGGGTGCGTGACCGCAGAGTCCAAGGGACAACTGCTTGAGACCGGTCACGCACGGCCTTTTTATGAAAGGTTTTTTGAGGATTAGCTCCGCTCTTAAACGCGCTTAGTGGGCACTCTTACCGACGGAGACGGAAATCCGTGAGGTAGGGTGAGGTGTGACATTTTTAGGGTCGACCTCTTCTAACCCTTCCTTCCTTGTGAGAAGGCAGCATCGCTGCAGATGCTGGTTGTCCGAGGTAAACACCTTACTCCTGTCACACCCGTCCGCAGTCAGCAGTACGACTTCGCACTCAGACCTTGGGTAGCTGCTTTTAGTTTCATCGTTCTCCGATCGACCTGCCTGGCATTGTAGAACCTTCAGGAACATAAGTTCCGGCCAGTATAGCTCGGTTGGGTCATAACGATAGTCAAGCCCGACCACCACGTCAAAGTACCAGCTACGATCGGGGTAACAACAAATCACATAGATTACTATGTTCTAAAACAATCCACACGATGAAATTTGGGAAGCTAGCGAAAATTATCCACTTAGAAGTCCAGAGCGATGAACACCAGCAGAAACTTGATTGATAATAACAAAATATCATTGGATATAGGCAGTCCATTCATTCTTATGAAGTCTGAGCTTTGTAAAATGACGATTGCTTCCACAAGAAGAACAAATTAAAATGCTAAAAAACTAGCAGTAGCATTAAGGCTATCTAATTGTTTTGTAGGTTATGCTTGTGACAGATTGAACCTAGTTTAAATACCACTGAAAACCAGAGAGCAATGAACAGATATTTCGATTCGGCGTGAGACTATTCAACATTTGTCACTCTCAAGAATCCTCCAGAGATCGAACAGGTGGCCTTCAGGTCTCGCAGTGAGTGCTTGATGTTATAATTCTCTCTTTATTACAACCCAGCTATTCAGAATGCCCAGTATTCTCGGGCACCACTTCACTCGAGACGCTGTCCCAAATCAGAACACGGTTGAACAGGAGAAGAGATTATATTCCAAAAACAAGGTTAGATAGAAGTGAGAAGTCCAAAACGTTAGTAAATTTATAGCTTTTTATATGAGAGGATTCTAGAATGTTCCCCTGTATTGACTAGCCCTGATTGGATACGAAAGAGCTAATCAGCGTACAACAACGTAATCGTGTATAGAACATGTCTCAATTCAATCTATGTCCCGTTAACACCTAATCACTAAAACCATAAAGTGACTGAACTGATAGTCTGCTCACAGAATCAATCCATAAAACCCAACTTAAAGGAGATATAAAAAATTGTATTACTAGTCGACCATCTAAATCTATGAATATTAATAAATCTAGTTTTAATACTCACACTGCACATAATGTTCAATGAAGAAAAGCATCTCACTGTTAAACAATTAATTAACTAAGGATAGAGATGAAAACTGTAAATAGTAATAATCAACATGTTAAAAAATTTCGTCATTATAAAGCCGTGACCAGTGCAGTTCAAATCTATTAGAGGAAGGCAGTTACCTACCAAAGACAATGGGTGCCGCTGCGCAAAAATCCTTAGATTGATCAAAGTCAGACATTAACACCGTTGGATGCCAGCTCAGTGGTCTAGAGGTTAAGAGTTCGCGAGCAAAACCGAAGTCCCTCGCTTCGATTCCCGCAAGCGCGGGTCGTGAATTAGCACTGTTGAAGAGTCCCATACTAGGATGAAAGGTCATTCCGGTGCTTTCAGGTTTTTAGTGGTGGTCTAACAATGATCGATTTAGAATTTCAACATTAAAAAAAATATTCCTATTTTTAAACTAAACAAATCAATCCCACTTTCATGTTACATAAAATCATATTTGATACTCCGTGAATACATGTATGTATATAAATATATAATGTACAATCAGAAATATTACCTTTTATCATGATTGTTTGAATAAGTTCTTCCAATGTAGGTGGTTTAACTGGTTCCATACGATTACGACTGAAAAATTCAACAAACAATATATATAATACTTTGATAAAGCAATATAACCACTAATCGGTAATATAACTGAACTGGCTAGAAAAAAACTGATTAGAAAAAGCTATTCAAGATTAATAGCTCCAATAAAAATAGTCAATCCATAGGATAAAAATATATACTTGGTGTGATCTGCACGGTCTTCTTACAGAGAAAACTTAATAAGATGGTATTGTGCGTATGAAAAGTCTGGAATAGAAAATTAAATGTGGAAAGTAAAGTTAATTTAAGTGCTCTTTTTTTGCATTCATCACTCACCAAGTAGAGATTGATGATCCAAACGTCAAACTGTACTATTTTGTGGAAGCAAAAACAACAGTCTAGTTGTAGTGTAGTGCCTAGTGTAGTCTAAATTTATAACCATTAATTGAAAGCATTCAGTCAGTCAGTTAGTTACAACGTAGAACTTCGTACGTAGGTACATCAGTTCAAGTTGCCATGCCACATTAGCACATAAATGCAATCGTCAGTTCAAATCCCATAGTAGCAGAGATAGTAGAAGTATTAGCGGTAATGAAGAAGATTAGGGTTCGAAGATATTATTCAAGAAGTATAATTCAGTGAAATAAATTTAGGAAGAAAAAGATAGAGGTGATGAGGATTGATTGAAAGCTGTGAGATATGAACATCAAGTTACTGTTAACTATAAATTCTCTTCAAGTTCCACTGGTCCAATATGGAAAATTTATGTAGAACCTCCCAGCTGGGTAAAAAGTTATTCCCGTATAACTCATACAAAAAACTCACTTCCTGTGGGAGTTTAATAATGATACAGTGTCTCCAGGTTTTATAGTTACTGTCACTAATTATCATAACAAATTGAGAGATTCAGACCCACAGGTTATTAATTAGTGTAGTAGAAAATGTGAATTAAAATCTTAGTAGCGAATTGAATCACTTCAATTTTATTGGATTAAAAAAAAACACGATACTTAATTTAAGGAATTTCGGACAAATTCGTCCTCAAACATCCGATATGAAAATAAAAATTATTGTAAAATAGTAACTGACTTTTTCAAGAAAGGGACATACATATTTTTTGCGATGGGCTCCGAGCCATACCCATTGTAGTTGCATTAGTGATACCATCCCGGTACTGAAACATTAACTCAGGTATATTGTAAGCTGATTCAGTATTCATAACGAATAAGTCATACATTCTGAATAATGATTTAATGTTGCCGTTACTAAACCTGACAATCAAATCATATTTCAAAAACAGCAGAATTCGATCATCAGGGAGGATTAAAGCAATGATTTTTTCTTATCACTAACTAGGAAATTATTGGTCAAAATTCGAAGGTAAGAAATACTTGTTTGTCATTTTAGGGTTGTGAAGATTGGTGAGTTTCATCAAAATTATGAATATATCAATGTTAGACTATCATTGGAAACCTGGAAGAACTAAAGGACCGTTTCGTTCGAGTATGGCGCTCATCAACAGTAGCCAAAGTCAAAATTAAAAAAACCCAGTAATTTCCATACTCACTCAAGGACATGTGGTGTTACTGCAGCTAACAAACTGTTCACATATTCTTCTTGACTTGGACCCATTACTCGATTTCTAGTTATTTCAGGCATATCATCATTTGGATATAATAAAGGAATGCGCCTTTCAAAAGCTTCACTAGGCTAATAAAATAAATTTATTTTAATAAAAAATGTTATTATTACCTGGAATTATAACAAAATAATAAATTTTTAGTTTACCTTACTCAAAATATGTGCATGTACAGAATAATACAAACAATATTAATTACATCTTATTTACACTTGTTAGGTTTTTTTTAGTCTACTGAAAATGAAGGCAGAATTAAAGGACATTTGCTAAGAAGGATATCTGTACCACTTCAAGCTTATATAGAATAAAATTAATAAAGTGTACATCCACTCATTTATCATGTATAACGCCTTGAGTTACACTGTTTAAACGAGTACTAATGATAGCAGCAGGGTGCCAAAATCAAACTAGGTAGAGATAAGTTTGAAGCTGAGACCAAACGATTGGAATACAACTGATTTAATCACTGAATTACCACTCTGTAAGTCAAGACATACGAGTCACGCTATTTGGCTCTACATAAAATAAGTCGATAAACGAATAGCCGAAATGCCACTAATCTTATCGGTACTATGAAAAAGTACAAAACAGTATCTTTACAAAGATAGCACCTCAATGAAGAGCAACATACAACGGGAAGAACAGAACACAAGTATAGAATAAATACTAGAAATAAAACTTGAAGACAGATAGTACGCTGAGACAGAGTATATCTATTTTCTTTTTCAAAGAAGTTTGAATTTTGTTTTTTCAGTTCTCGCTTAGTTGCATCGTCTTACTACATGAGTAAGTCAGGATAGGTTCAAACCAAGGATTTATTGGTTGAAAGGCGAGTGCATTAACAACTAAGACATAATTCTACTAGTATAATTTCAATTATCACGTTTATCAAACCCAATCTAGCTCACCACTTGTAAATAATGGTCAATTGTCAATCAACCAATCAATATCAACGTAGAACTTAGTAAGTACGTACATCAGTTCATGTTGCCATACCACATTAGCCCAGAGATGTAATTGTCAATTCAAATCCAATAGTAGTAGAGGTATTAGCAGTAGTCGGAGAGGTTAGCATTAGAAGATATTATTCAAGAAGTAGGATCCAATGAAATGGACTTAAAAGATAAAGTGATGAGTAATTCAGAAGGTTAGGATTTGAGAGAACACAAAGAATGAATGCACCGGCGCCATCGCAAACGGTTTTGAGGCATGTCATTCAGGGTTTCTAACCATCGGTGACTTTCGTCTCGCGGACCCCGACCAGGTAGTCGACACCTACCAACATGGCTCAGTCCACTTGTCAGGGACTTCATGGAATTGTCATGTTTTGGTTTGGCCGCCCCTAGCTTTCTTCTAACCTATTCCTGAATGGCAAAACATAGCTTGACGAGGCAGTTGGTCGTTAGGCATACGTAACACATGCCTAACCACCTCAACTGATGAAGTTTCAATAATTCATCTATTGACCTGCCATCCTTATCTAGCATCAGTTTCCTAACAACAGCATTGATCACTCGCTTGTCAGAGGGTATATGAGCAATGCTTCGAAGACACCGATGATCGAAAACCCGTAACCTACGAATATTTTCTACTCTCACTGGCTATGTTTCACAGTCATAAAGTAAGACGGAGCGAATAGTCGCGCAGTACACTTGTCCCTCAGTCAGCAAACGGATATCTCACCTGCGCCATAGGTGACGCAGGTTGACAAAAGCCAATCGAGCCTTCTGTATCCGAGCTGAGATTTCGTCAGTCACCAGGCCATCGGCACTGATGAGACTCCCCAGGTAAGTGAAGCGGTCAACACGTTCGACTACTTCACTCCCTATCACTAGTTCAGCTGCCGACAAAACCCATTTCGAGGGGGAAAACCGCATCTCGAACATGCTCGCATTGTTGTTTAGGGTAGTCAGAACACCGCATTCTGTCAGCGTCTTCACCAAACAGAACTATGTCATCGGCATCTTCTAAGTCAATAAGCGAGCCACCTGGTAGAAGGTCCACTCCTGAAAATACACACGAGGATAAGGTTATATCTAGGAGCATGTCTATGACAAAATTAAACGAGAATGGAGAGAGTGGACATCCCTAACGGACACCACTTTAGGTCAAGACCTGTAGTGTTCGAGTAGAGTACTTGTGTAAGGTTAATGTACTTCTCTCGTATACCTTTCAATGACAGACACTGCCACAGTACCTCACGATCCACTGAGTCAAATGCCACCTTAAGGTCCAGGAACACAACTATTTTCGGACGCCTAAATCTGCGTCCATGTTCCAAGACCTGTCGTAGTGTGAAGATGCGGTCTGTACAGCCACGTCCAGGTCGAAAACCAGACTGGTTTTCTCTGGTCTGCTCTTCACGGGCTATAGTTAGGCGTCTAAGGATAATCGAGGCTAACAATTTAGAAAATATATTAGTTAGACTAATTCCTCTGTGATTGTCACAAGAAGACTCTTGTCCTTTCTTATAAATTGGGCAATCAGGGATTGAGGCCAGTCAGATGGGATTGCGTCCAGTCCCCAGATCCTACCTAAGATCGCAGTCAATCTAGTTGCTAAAACTGGACCTTGAATATCTCAGGGTCAATCTATCGGGACCCGCTGCTCGCCCTCACTTCAGATTTCCTATCGCTTTCTCAACTTCATGAAGAGCCGGGGGATGTACGTCGACTTGTCATTCAGGAAGACTGGAGATCATGCGTAACTGAAGTGTGGAATGGTCAATTGTATTTACAACGAAGTTTTCAATCACTGTCATAAAGCTCAATTTCGGCTTCGAAAAAGCCCTTTGACCTTTAACTTTATATATTTAAAGTTAGCCTTCTCTGAGTTTCTAAGGAATGTAAAATCCTTGTATATAGATACAAAGCACTTATTTCTGTACTAAACACATCATCATTTAATGCTCACTTGTAAAACTAAATTAGTAGTCATACAAAACAGACTGAATTAGGAAATGGTATAAGAAATATTATCAGATGATTATGGACTTACATTAAAGCGCTTATACTGTACTGGACACCATGGTGCTTGAATCTGTTGTTTCAGGAATATAACATCAGGATCACTATCTGCAGGTTTTCGACGACTTGCCATAGGACCTCGTAAAGCATTTGCATCAGCAGTCCTGAGACGGGCAGACACGAATGCCGCAGGACCCACAGCAGTTAAAGTTGACGAATCAGAATTCTGGTTTGTCTTATCAACTGAGAAGCATGATAAAAGAGGACAGATAAGGTCATGTGAAATATAGTTCTGAATATTGCAAAGCTACATCATTAATTGATTAATAGTGGCGGTTAAACTTTGTTCTACATAAATTAATCCCTTAAAAATTCATTCATCAATGAAATAAATGATACCCGAATAACTACGAAATACATAGGTAACAAAAGATAAGGTTCAGCTTACAGACAAGGATGTAAATGTATAAACTGGCAATAAAGGCACCATATTACGTTACAATATACGAGGGAAGAAACAAATCAGTAAATGATACTTAATTACAAAACGAATGCTAGGTAAAAGTATTTTACAAAAGGATACAGAAAGGAAGACGAAGAGACATAAACAAAGTCTATACTCTGAGTCAGGAATTTTTCACAGAAACTTGACAAAGAAACACAATCTAATGAGATCCAATAAAACGAGATTTCGTTCCAAGATATATATGGTAAAAATATTGCTTCTGTCGAAACTGTCAAAACGGTGGATAATTTTCAGAAATTCCGAAAGAACTAGACAAATAATTACTTTCATTCCTTGTTAACACGACTTCAAACTCATATATCATTACTTTAAGAGGCGATAGGGTTCGGCAAGAAACCTGTTGATATGCTCATGAAGAGAGAGCTACATGTTACAACACGTCTAAATCTGTGCAACAAGTTCAACATTGGCTTTGTACCTGGCCCTGAGTCACATCGTGAAGGCTGATTGCCCAAACCTAAATAAAAGGAGTTTGAATCTAAAACATACTGATCGAAAGTCGATTACTTTGACTACAACGCAATTGCTCGAAATGAAAGAATTAGTCTATATTTAGTGTTGAATGAACACAATAGCTTTACTACCGTAGAGACAACTTTAAGGTTTGAAAATTCTCACCAACATGGATAACACTAAATCGAATAGAGAATATACACTAGAATTTGCTGAAAGTTGGTGAGTTCAGACAGTGTTCAGAAATCGCAATCACTTGGTTGTTCTAGCATAAGTGAGAAGTACCTTGAAGAGATTTACGACCAAATACGTGAAATAATTGCACGTTTTTCACTATCGTAAAACCGTGTTTCAAATATGTGACAAACTAATGAATGCCACTTAAGATAATGAGATTAGTTAAGTTTATAACATGTTTTAGAATCGTTTCTTGCGATATGAACGATTTAAATACTTGCCTGCTGCTCCTCTTCCTCTAACCATGCTTCAATATATCAAAACGTAACAAAATGTAGCAGTGCAGGTGAAATTTACCAACGCTTTCTTAGGCCACTTGAAATTTCACATATTGTTTAGTGTGAACTGCAACTGAACAAGGTAATATTAATGGATGAAGATTTGATAAGTGAACGAGGTCTATAATTCCTAGGAATGAACTGTTATGAATGAGTGCAATGCACTGATACAATGTGAACGAGTGATGACTGCTCAGGACAAACGATCTTTGACACAAACCTATGAACAAACTGATATGTAATACACGACTACTTGTCCGATCAAATTTTATGTCGAATAAAACAATAAGCTAACAGATAGACTGCTCACAGAAAAATATCTAGTTAATCAGTCTTACGAATTCATTGCCAATAAATCGAAACCCAACTGTTAGGTCTAATTTTTTCCCATCATATCATACGTCTAAGTCGTATGTAGCATGTAATGATAGTCTGTGACTAAAGTAACTAACATATCATTTATGCTGAGCCTTATTTTACAATTATCATGTGATAAAAAGATACTACTTATACTTGTCTAAACCGAGTTGTGTTTGGATGTAAACTTATGGAATGTGTTAATTATTATGAAAAAACTACGCTAACAAGATTATCTTGGGAAGTTAAATCCTACGGCTAAAATGCACTTCAAAATGAATAAACATAAAAAGTGGAGTACTTTGGTTCAGCCTCAGATGGTAAAACGCAGTTCGGGATAAAAAGGTCAAAAAAGTCGACTAGAAAACCAGTCGGGAATTACTGAGACGAAATGAGAACTAATTTTGTTCCCGAGGGAACATAACGGTATACACAAGTGATTCTGACCCTGAAAAAAGTACATACCTTTAACTGGTTCTTTACAAGTATCCAAAACCAAAACGTCTCGTTTAAGCGGTATAAAGTGGCATTCATCTAACATGTTAAAAAAAGGCATACATCTTACCATTAACGAAGTAGCCCAGTAAAGTTCTCGGGAATGTAACAGTGTTGGAACGCAGTAAATAAGTGTCCCTTAAGGGATGATAGTATTACAAAAAACCAAACATACATCTGATCACCAACAGGTTCAACGAAAGAACTCCGCCCGTCTCTTACAACAAATTCAAGCAAATCAAGATTCGGTTTAATACGAGCTTCTTTAATTGACTCATTATCTAGCGTGTGATAATCCTCTCGATTTTTATACTAAATATAGGAACAGATAAAAAGAAACTAACCTACCAGAAGCAGTAGGATTTGCTTCTGCATAGCTGGGGAAATATAGCAGTCAACCTTCAAATATCAAAAAAATCGAGTGATTTTACCTCTTTCAAAACTCTAGGTTCATCATTGCTAGACTTTGAAGGAGTGTCCATTGCATGAGAGAGACTCGGCTCCTGTCTTATCGCTGATTGGGCCATCAGAATGGAGCCAAATACAATTGAGTTATTCAATGTCAATCCAATATCCAATTTTTTTCATGAGCTTGTATAAATCAATTGGTTTCTTTGCGCTCGATTCTTGTTCTTTCGGCACGTTACAGGTGTTTAGTAGTGTCCAATGAATGGTGGTCCAATCACTGGACTGTCTAATTCAAGTAAGTTGGCAGCTGGTTGTGAGTTTGTATGTCTCGGGGTTTGAATGAAACGTTTGTTTCAGGGCAGTAGGGTTTCTGGCTACTAGCAGCCGTCACATTACCAAACCGGAGATCAGTTAGTTGCAATGTGGAGAGTAATAAGGGTAATAAGGATAAAATTCTAATGATAATATGAGTAAAATTTCAGAACTGAGTAATATATAGATGAATTTAGTTTGTTAATTGGTAGTGAAGATTGTGAGAGAGGACCGAAGTGTAAGCAAGGGAGAGGAAACAGAGATAATGGGCGAGATAGAATAATTGAGTGATCTGAGGAGATGGCAACGTTAACAACTAGCAGGTCTCAAGATATGCATCACGCACAGCTTGTCCAAGAGGGAGATGATAGTCCGCATGTGAGTACATGATTATCAAGTCTCTTCTTAAAGCTGTACACTGAGGGGGCTGTAACTACCTCGGCTGGGAGAGCATTCCAAGTTGCGACGACTCGCAATGAGAAAAAGTGTGCACGAATCTGAGTGTTTCCTCTTTGATGTGCAATCTTTTGAGGACTGCCTCGAGGGGAGTGGTGGTGATGCATCGGTAAGTTGCTCATATTGGGATGGTTTGGCGTGTTTAATATGGTGTACGCCATAATCAGGTCACCTCTGATTCTCCTGTAGCTCAGTGGAAATAATCCCAGGAGCTGGAGTTTATCGTCGTAGGGTTTATTTTTCAACCCTATCACCCATTTGGTTGCTCGTCTCTGCACTCGATCCAAAAGATTTATGTCACTTTTAAGCAGAGGGGGTGCGAATGACGTTATGAACCTCCAAGTGTGGGCGCGCGTACGTCTTAAACAGGGTTAAAAATAATTTCGGGGTTATAGCACCAAGCTGTCTTCGCATAAAGTGAAGAGTCGCATTTGCCTTGGCTTCATCCCCTACATATTTTGGACTGATGAGGAGGCCTTCTGTGGTTATTAAACCAAGATCGCGCTCTGAGGAGACATTAGGGAGCGGACTTCCATTGAGAGTATAGGTCATTTGCGTCATCTGAGGCAGGAAACGCATGACGTGGCACTTCGGTTGGTTGATTTTTAAACCGTTTTTCACTGCCCATTACTCAATAGATGTAAGGTCGTTTTGGAGCTAAGTCGAATCCTTTTCGCTTCTAATTGACCTCCGGATCTTCGCATCGTCTGCGGAGATCAATGCCGGTGAGCTTACTGAGCCTAACCGGTCATTAATAAATATTAGGAAGAGGAGTGGGCCTAGGATGGTCCCCTGTGAAACTCTCAATGTGGATACTCTCCAACTCGCGTGCACCCTGTTTACCTTGGTGCAAAACTTTCTATTCTCAAGGTAGTTTCTGAGCCAAGATAGGAGTGGGTCAATGAAGCCAAGTTCCACAACATTTTCGATTATGCGTGCGTGGGACACTGTGTCAAAGGCTTTTGCAAAGTCGAGAAATAATACGTGCACCGGTATTTTACGGTCCAAACAGGATGTCCAACTGTCCCATGCAATGAGAAGATTAGATGCACACGACCTGCCTTTCCGAAATCCGTGTTCAGCGTCATGGAGTATTTTATTCTTATCTATGTACTCCCTCATTTGTTCGTCCACTAGCCCTTCCATAACTTTTGATAGTATTAGTAGTAGTGCGACTGGTCTGTAACAGGCTGGGTCCTTTCCATCTCCTACTTTGAAGATTGGAGAGAGAGTAGCTTGTTTCCATTCAGCTGGGAATTGGTGTGACTCCAGTGAATGCCTGAACAGGTTGCATAACGGTGAACGGAGGACTTCAGCACACTGTTGCAAGACTATGGGGCGGATTTTGTCACAACCTGGTGACTTACCTGGGCGTAAGGATTTTAGCTTCCTTAACACTAGGTCAGGAGTAATACGGATGTTCCCAAAGCCGTCAGCTGGCATTGGGTTGGCGTAATACTCTGAACTTGTAGGCGCCTGGTTTAATTGATCAGCAAAGGTGGTGTTAAAGATCTTAGCCATCTCTAGGTTGGTGAGGTCTTCCCCGTTTGGTCCTTTTAGAGAACACAACCCTTGATTAGTAGGTTTTCTTTTGGACATGAACGTAAACAGATGTTTCGGGTTTGCCCCTATTCTGACGGCTAGCTTCGTCTGAAATTGTCTCCTGTCGCTTCGAACTTTAGTGTTGCATCTGTTTCTAAATGCCAAGTAAGAACTGCGATCGGAATCCCTCAAGGAGACCTTCCACTTGTGCCAGGCTTTCCTCTTCGCCTGCAGCAAGCGTTTAGTGCCGCGCCTAACCTAGGTTGTTCTGTTCTCGCGTACTTGGTGTGACTGAGGTACGTTGTCTACGACAGCGTTTTGGATGATATCTCTCACTGCTTGCCAGTGATCATCTACTGTCAGCCTCCACCACTCCCGTGGCCATTGTGGAATGTAGGAGCACCTCTCTCATGTGTGTATAATTTGCCCTATTGTAGCAAAGATAGAGCTCGTTTTTGTCCTGTGTTCGTTTCGTTTATCACCGTGTTACATAAGACTGTGCCATGGTCACTACTTCCTAATGGTGCGCGGACGTGAACATCCTCAAACAGGAGCTGGTCATTAGTTAACAGATAATCCAGGTTTGAGGACTTCCCTTCCTAGGTTCACCTAGTGGCATTGCGTACGTGCTCAGTCAGCCCAGAGCTTCTAATGGCTGTACCAAGTTGTCTTTGGAAACGACCGGTGGTAGTTATACTCTGATTTCTGAGATTTAAAGATGGGGTATTGAAATCTCCAGCTAAGAGTATTTGATCAAACCCAGGAGTGGCAGTTGCAGTATTACCTCAATCAATTTGCTTTTCTAAGCCTTAGTACCTGAAGGTGGTCGGTAAATCCCTCAAAACAAATATTTCGAGTGGAAACAACACCAACATGATTCTGTCACCTCAGTTAGTTGGGTTTCGCATAGTTGCTCTGCTTTTAAATCGCTATATATATATATATATATATATATATATATATATATATATATATCTTGTGCCAGAGGTAGTTGACCGAGTTTAACTATTAGTTTTGTGCGTTAATTTTGACCTCCCTGCTGTTGTCTCACAGATCTAGGTCGGCTCTCGCAGCATCTGATGTGGCTAGGCAGATCGTTCCTCGGACTGTACCAAGCTTGTAGTGTTTCGGTCAGGTCTTCCCGGTTCCTAAATATTACAGCCATCAGGCGTGGTGACTTGATAGACGTAAGGTGTGACGGGTGAGGCAACCTGGAAATGCAAACTGCCATCGTGGTGTGGAGGGATAGGCTACGCGATAGCCATCGCCACTGTTGCACATCGTGCTCGTGAGCTTCGTCCGGGTTACAGCTGGTGAGTTCGGGTACACCGTGAACTACCATGTTGATAGGGTTTCTGGACACCAGCAGCCATTACATTACCAGATCTTAGGTCATTTAGCTGCAATAATAATAAGGAGAACATTATAAATCTAATAAGATGAGGGTTTCAAAATTACGTAAACAAATAGATTATTTAGCATATATATATTGGTAGTTAAGATCGTGCGAGAGGACCGAAGTGTAAGCAAGGGAGAGCAAACAGAGATAGGTTAGGGCGAGAAAGATAAAGTTCGTGAGCTGAGGAGATGGGAATAATAAGAACTAGCAGGTCTCAAATGTTTTCCTACGCCTTGGAGTTTCTCCCTAGGGACCACAAAGCCGCTGTTCGTGAGATCTTTCTCAATCCTACTGTGCCCAATGTTTACGATCGTCTTACACGGGCAATTCTTAGACATCTCCTCTCATCGGGTTAGGAACATTTGAGAACATTGTTAGTACGTCACCCTTTAAGTGATGCTAAACCAAGCCACCACCTCACGCGCCAGCAATCCTTGGCAGGACCAACGATAGCCGACTTTGACATAGCCAAGGAACTATGGATCGAGGCACTACCAGAACATGTGCAGCCTATGATCATGGCTCCGCTCGAGGACCCGCCACTTAACGAGGCTGCCCTCATAGCGGACAAAACAGTAGCGGGGTTGGCTCGCGCTGCCTTGACGTCACACACAAATGTTGACCTCGATGCCAATCACGTTAAGGCTCAAGAAGATCGGGATAGTTGCATTCATAGCCGTCTTAGCAATCGAGACCATTCTTCCATTCCAGAACCCCACGTCCCCCTGGCCCGCTCTCGATCACCCAAGGCTACTAGTACTCGCCCCCTGTGGGCATCTTCGAAGCCACGCCGAAAAGCGGCTTCGGAAGCGAGTACCAACTGGTGCTGGTTCCACCGGACTTTTTGGTCTGGCACTCTCAAGCCCCTTGCTCGTACAAGGCGGGGAACTCCAGGCAGCGAGTAAATGCGGCCGTACTCGTCGGCCCCTCGCCTCATGTTGGCCGCCTATTTTACGTGCACGATACCCGCACTAACGCTAGGTACCTAGTCGACACAGGTGCCCAAGTTTCTGTCGTACCAATTGGTAGCAGCAAGTCTTAACCTATGATGCTTCCACTACGCTCTGCTAATGGCTCTATCATTATTACCTATGGAACACGACAGCTGACGTTGAGCCTGAGCAACCGACGACGGTATCTGTGGACGTCCATCATTGCCGATGTTCCCAATGCTATACTGTATCGATTTCCTACAGCACTATGAATTGATAGTTTATTTACGTAGGCTGCAACTAATCGATACTTCTTCGAACAGCAAATTCAAGGGTTTTCGAGCTCAAACAAACGCGTGCCGTATCACACGTGTGTTTCCTTCCCATGATGACATTTTCCACGCATTACTCGAAAAATTTCCCTAGTTAACTA